ACAAATGGAATTAATCTCTTTCCAGGAAGACAGACAGAGGGAAGAGAGAGATGAATCATCATTTCAAGCAGAATGGAGGGTGGTGGCAAAGAACATTAATGAAATTTACCTTTAGTAAACAGTGTAGAAGGTATTTTTCTGACTGTCTTCATCAGTCTGCTGTAATTACTGTTCAGGTGTGACATGTTGTTGAAGTCCTTATTTTTTGCAAATTAGCGTAGATGAGGTAATGTGGCTGATTTCTCATTCAAGGAAGGGATTATCTTGACAGACCTTCCTCACCTCCACAAAATTCATGGACAAGGGATTAATTAGCTGCCCTTCATTATATTATATAACATTGTTGTAGAAAGCTGAGACTACAAATATGTAATTGGGACCTTTTTCTGTTTTCTTTTTTGGCAAAGAATGGGGATTTTTCATTCCAATTATCGCCTTGGTAGATACATAACAAACCACTTCAAAACTTAGTGACTTAAAACGTCAACTATATATTTAGCTCATAATCCTGAAGATTGACTTGGTTTTTTTTCTCACGGTTGTAGTGGAGGCTTAGAAAGAGTAGAGGTAAGCAAGGCCTCTGTAGACTAGCCTCAGACTGTGGCACTTGCTTGTGTTGCATTCTTTTGGCTGAAGAAGTTACAAAAACCACTGATTCAAAGAGCATGGATGTAGATTCCATCTATTGATGGGAAATGCTATAAAGCAACATTTTCTTTTTCTGTGCTTTTTTATGTATTGTCCAGAGCTGATGAGAGAGGCTGATTAGGGGATTTTACTTAGCTGCTTTGTTAAGCTTTTGTTGTAGTTGTTGTTAATCAAAAGTATATAAAACAGTGACATATGGAGAATTCGGGTCATTTTTTCCCCCATCAGTCTATCCTATCTTCTCGTCAATGTAGATTTTAATTTTGCTATTATAAAATTATGTCACCCAACTTCCTTTTATCTCATTCTATTGCCCTTTGTCTTATGTTATTTTCCTCTTTATAATAGTCTGTTATTTTTGGTCTCTGTGATCTTTATTCTTGTCCCTGGTAAATAACTTTTTTTTTTTTTTTTATCTTTTTTTTTTGTTTCTTTCTTTAGTTTTTTTTAGAGATCTGTTTACTGCATCTTCAGGATTTTCCCCCTTCCCTGTTAGAATATTTCTACTCATATTCTACCTTGATTTTTCCTTTTGGGACACTGTTGTTATTTGCTAGTAGGGCAGATGGATGTTTCTCACCCCCTACTTAGGTTTTATTGCCTTTTCAGGTCTGCATCTGAAGAAGTCACTTAGTTGTTTTATATAGTTCCCAGTGATTGGCAGGCAGGCATCAAATGTGACTTTGCTAAATTAAAACTAGGATCATCTGCTACCATTCTATGTTTGCCTGGTTTTGGGGCACTTTAAAAAGATGACGTATATGGGAAAACCTTATTTCTTAACAAGCTGTTTCTAAGAGTATTTTTCCTGTATTCTCTGACAAGGAGTACCTGGTGTATCTCTAGAAGTTCTCATGTGAATATTGAACCTTCCTGGTTGCAGTGACCCATTGGGAGTATTCCTTCTACTTTCTGATGTATATATTTTTTAAACTAGGACTTGTATTTAAATGGATGTATAAAGAGTTAATGCCATTCAGGGGTGAGAATGAGTTGCAGGACTAGGCAGCTTCATAACACCATCCTTCTGATACACAATCTTTCCTTTAAATAACAGGCAGGAAGAGAGAGAAAACTAAAGTCCCTTCTTAGCTGACAGAATTACTGTGTTTCTTGGAGAAAAGCAATACTATGCATCATGTGACATAATCAGGAAGTTAGGTCCATCATTACTTTGTTTCTAGACCTGGTTTGTAGAACTTTCAGATAGTGTAACTGAAGGTATTCTCCCAAGATTAAATTAATAGAGTGTGATGTCTTTTTCTGTGCCTTCATATGTACATTTGAGAATATATGAGAGGCCTTACAGGAAAAATCTTATCTCAGTATCATTAAGCTAAAAAGCAACAGATTAAGCATAAAAGCAACTGGAGTTGCTTTTCATTTTCCATTTTTTTTAATTCAAGAATTTGTAATGAATATAGGATTAAAAATACAGGATCTGCTCTTGGAATGGTGAGATTTGCTGCTCTTTTTTTTTTTCTTTTAGCTTGTGGAATATTTTGATGTGAATAAATACAGCATTCCATTATAATTTGGTAGTAATTAGTTATATTTCTTAGTCTTCCATTATTACTTTCAAAATTCATTGTTGGGGAACCACAGCTCTAAGCACTTTGTTTTTGTCTTCTGGGTCAGTGGCCTGGATGTGGGACACATCCATTGATGTGCCATCCGTTGATAGGCCAAGAAGCAGTGCCCCAGAGTGCTGAGTCAGCCTTTGGAATAACAGTAGCTGCCAGGACCAATTGTTGGATCTTCAGAAAAATGATAGTTCCAGGGAAGCTACAATTGTCTTCTCTCTGGTAACTGTTTCAGACTGTGAAATTTATGATCCAATAGCAAAATTATGCCTTAGGGAATCCATTTTATTGGAAAATAACTAGTTCTGCAGCTGCAGAAATAAGATTTGCTAGTAACTACTTGATTATTATTTCAATAATCTCTAATGACTCATAGAACTTTAGTGATGTTTACCATTTTTTATGATTTGGTTTAAATACCACCTGAAAGTCACAGTGCTCTTGAACTACTGAAAGTCCATACCCCTCTGCTCTTCTAGCACTAAATTCATTAAATTGGCTATCAGACAGTTTTGTATATTGCCTATCCATTGTTTAGAGTTTAGTTTAGTGCCAGATTTTGATGCCACTTAATTTTTCAAAAGCATCAGTGTGTATGTGTGTGTTCAAACACCATATAAATCAGAGACTATGAGTTTTGGGGAGAAATCTGAATCTTATCTTTCAATTAGGTAAGTATTCTTAAACTGGATTTTATAACTGAACACCTTCAGTGTGTCGTATAAGGGTGTGTTTCTGTTAATAATGAAAATTGGTAATCTCCCAGTTTGTGAAAAAATATTATTGTTGATCTTCATCTTTTTCATGTGATTAGTAGAAAATAAACGAAAAAGTGAGCAGTAGTCACTTATCTTTAGTTCACTTATGTTTTTCATTATCACAAGCTTATGATATTTACTTTATCTTTAATGTAACTATGCTTTAGATTATTCTAGATTTTCTAATGAATTAAATTAATATTTTTTACAATATTGCACAAAGAGTTCTGTGACTTCCAACTCTGCCTTCTGATGTTGTTCTCAAGCCACAGAACTTACCATCTTGTAAGGTACTTAGAGGGCAAGGACTGTCATTATCATCTTCCCCACATATATGCTCAGAAGCAAATATAGACTCTTGAGTGGAAAGTAACGTCAGGAAAAGTTGGATTTAATATTTTTTGGGTATTTTGTGAAGTTTGCAAGGAGTGGTAGAGGATAAGAATAGATACAGCATTGAAATTGGAATGTCACCACTGTAAACAAGTGTTACTGATTGAGAAACTTAGAGTGAGTAAGTGATTTGGCAGGTAACAATAGCCTGGAATGAAGTTTGTCTGTTACTTGTACATTAGTCTGGGGTTTAGTGCAGAGTTCCATGTTAGTGATGTAAATTTGGGAGTCATAGGCTAGTTCACAGCATATAGATGTCACCTAGAGATACTGCATAAAAGGAGAGAGTAAATACTGAAGACAGCTTTAGAGAACACTAGCATGTAAGGCGCAAAGTAGACTAGAAAGGAATGGCCAGAAAAGTAGAATAAAGGCATGAAATTATAACTAACTGGTGCTAAGGGAGAGTTTCAGAAGAGAAGGCACAAATTGCTGAAAAATCACCTAATTGAAAATCTTTCTATAAATAGCATTTCTACCCATAAAATGAAAAGAAAAATAGAATTTCAGTTATCACAATATTCTTTGAAATTTTATTAGTGGGTTTAGAATATTGTATACAGGAAGTAGTATTAGGTATTTTAAATTATAGATAATAAATATAAGTAACTATAGAAATGTAAGAGTAAATATATATTACTGGCATGGTCCAAACTGATGAATTCTGAAGCTTTTCTGCTTTTTTTTTTCTTTTATAATATAAATAAGGACTAAGGAAGAGCATTTAATATACTGGCTATGTAAGGACAAGTTAAATTACATGACATGGATATCTTTAAGAGATTTGTGAACATTTCTTGGATCTAGTTTATATGGTAACTGAAGCAAATTCCAGGATACAGCCTTTTTTCACTCTTGTCCACTCTGAAATATGATTTTCACATCATTACTATTCTTATCATCTTGACTAATAATCCAATAAGTAGAAGACATAAAGTGGTCCTACTCACAGATCTTCACATTCAGGGCCAATAATGTAACTGCTGAAATGAGAAAAATGGAGAAGACTCTTCCACCTTTCCTTGCGGAGCAAAGAAACAAACAAGACACTTGACTTGGTGTTGAGTGCTGGGTAATGGAGAAGTGAATGTGAAATGGATCAGCCAGACTTTGTCTCTTAGAAGCTTGCATAGAGATAAGTGGCAAAAGTAACTGTAATAATAGATAGCAGTGACAGTAGAAGGAACTAGGAATTCAAAGAAAAGAATATTATCATCTGGAGGAACTGGCATTTGAATTACTAAGTGAATTGAATTACTAAATGTTGAATAGGCAGAATGGGATAAAGAACATTCTCCTTCAAGACAGTAACATAATCAAAGACACTGGCTCCCAAATAAGTATTTGTTGTATATCTGCATAAATGAAATCAGGTTGCATTGATTCACATGGTATAGTTTTTACTATAAGTGCTCTGCTGGGATGGAGTTACTTAGAGCTATAAAGTAAATATGATTGTTCTTGAAGCAAAGTCATCAGTTGATTATGAAGTATATTCTAGTATATTTAATTTTGCTAAATACTCCCCACTAAAGCACAACCAGTGAAATGTCTATATTCCACCAGTGTTTGTGTATTAACCTACTGTTACATTTATCATCTCTTTGCTGTTTTACAGAAGCCAAAACTGAAAGACTGGCATCCTCCTGGGGGTTTTATCCTGGGACTCTGGGCACTCATTATCATGGTTTTCTTCAAAACTTATGGAATCAAGCATATGAAGTTCATTTTCTAGACATAATGCTATATGACGAAGACCATGTGGAAGATAAAATCTTGGATACAAATTTCTTGTCATTATATATTTTTTAAAAATACATTGCTATTGTATAAATTGGCAAAATTTACAAGGAAGCTGTACATTTGAATGAACTATTGACTTTCTAACTTAAAGAAAAATAATTCTTGAGCTCTCCTGCCTACCTGTGGCTATGCAGGTACCTGTCTTTTTTTTCTCCTTTTCCTAGTAAACCTGTCCCTTTAAAAATGTTTAAAAAAAAAAAAAGACAAAATCAGAATGAATGATTGTTTGACTCTTCTTTGAAAATAACAATTTCTCCCTACCCTCTTTTCATTTGGAAAAGGAAAAAAATGTGAAGACAGTAAATCTCGTTAGGAGAGGTAACTTCTGTTAGCAGTTTTGTGTATGTTCTCCCAATCATTTTTTCCTATGTGCATATATTTTTTTTCAAAATAGAAGTCATATGGAATATACCATTTTGAAACATTACTTTTCATTTGACTGTATGTTAATCAACCCTTTCCTTCTGGAATATTCTTCAAGTATACACTGGATATGGCTGCATAGTATCTATTTTTTGAATGTACATAACTTAACATTCTTATATTGTTGGACAACTTGTTTCAAAATGTTCCTTTTGTTCATGTTTTAGTGTTAGTGTTTTACCGTCAATCATTCAAAGAATTCTGCACCTTAATTATAAGTAAATATAAAAAAATTACCTTTTTTATAGTCATAAAGTCTCCAGAACATACTTTGCCATCAACTTATCTGAAAAATTGAAGACCTTTGGGAATTTCACATACTGACTGTTCAAGAGAGATAACCATTTCTAAACATTCTGTGACTACCCAGATCTGCTCCCATTGAAAAAGATATTATTTCATTCTTTTGTCCACTGCATGGATCTACTCTTTTCTGGAGACAGTCCTGTAAAGCAGTTGGACTACTCGGACAGTTCACACGTAGGGCCGCCCTCTTGTCTGCCAAGTGTATCACGTAAGGCAGCATATCCCTTTTCTTTCCTCTGACAAGATGCAGGAGCTCAGACCTCATCATTGATTGGTTAGCTCAACAGCTGTCATCTCATCGTCCTCAAAACTGGAAGAACTGAGATTATACCTTCCCACTGACCCCACATATATTGTCTTTTAAAAAACTTTGCCTGCAAGGAGGAAAAACCCTGAAATTTGAGTGTTCATGTTTTACAGGATACCCTTTGTAGGTTACTTGTTTTATGTGTTAATATGATTTATGTGTTAATCTCTGTCTATTACAGAGATCTATTTTTTAATTGTAGGTAACATTAAGAAGACAATTTTCCCCCTAATAAAACCTCTTAAATTCTTTAGGATTTGTTTTCCTCTTAGCACTTAAAATATTACCCTTTATTTACATGCAAAATGGTCATACTTTTCACAAGGAAAGGATTAACGGTCATTTCCCAAGCTAGAATGGTTGCCAGCTCCTATTCTTGATTTTAATTTAATTTTTTATTGGTGCCCTACATAAATGAAGATGGAAGTTTAAGATCTGTTTGTACATAGAAGGAAAACAATCTTAAATTTGAATTGCTGGAATCATAGTAGTCCTAAGAGACGAAAAGTTTCACCATGTATCCTCCAAATATTTAGCCAAGGTCATCAACACCATGCAGGGATGGAGCTCCTTAGTATGGCGAAGGAAATATGATTGTTCTTGAGCCAAAGTCATTCAGTTTGAGTGCAATGAAACATACCCTGATGGTTAAAACTGCTGGAAAATAAAAGGATTTCTCTTCAGAAGCAGCAGAAGGTGCCGTTCTTAGTTAAAACCAAACTGGGAAAAGCAATACTGGATATAATACATGGGTTTAATCCTACCAGGTTGAGTTTCAAAAGGCAGTTATTTCTTTGTTACTGAATTTTCAGAATGTCCTTAATGCAGAAAGCTTAATATATGTTCACTGTTTAGTTTGTAGCCATCCTTTTTTGTATTAAGTATATTCTGTCTTCAATAAAGAAATCCTCTGCATGTGGTAAGTAAGTAACGTAAGTGCAATTAAATGACCTGGACTTTAAGTGATAATGTAAAAGCACAGTCTTTAGCCATACTCTACTTGTGTCACAAAAGCGCTGAACAACTGAAGTTTTCTATTTGGCTTTCCCATGATGTTGTGAGATAATGTCAACACTAATTCGAAAATTGTAAATCTATGGTGATGTTATTTGTCTTATTTCTGTTTAGAAAGAAAGAAGTAAATGGTGCCAGTGTTCCTCTTTCTGTTGTACTTATCCACCTTTCTGAGCTATTCGGTGCCACTTTTATTCTCTTTGGTTTTCTTCCCCTCCCAGATACTTTAGGGAGAGAAAGACTATAGATAAATGGATCTCAGCAGATCTTTTTTGGGGGAGGGACAGTATAATGAAACCATTCTGCAAAGGCAACTTGTATGAGAAAAAGAAATCAAGTGATGTGGATTTCAAAATTATAAGACACTCATTTGCAGTTTATGAAAGGGAAATATAGTTTGGATGCAAAGCTGATTAAGTTGGATCATGAAAAATTGGAATTAAATACTAAAATAATGCATGCATTTATAATTTCAATTTTTATATATCCTCAGCTAGTTGAAAATGATGAGTCCCACAGCAAGCATAACTCAGCTTGTTTCTGCTTACTAGTATTTTCTACTATGGTATATATTGATAACATTTCTTCCATTATGTATGTTCTGTAGCAGAATTACAGTTACTGTGGGAATCATAATTTGAAATTTTGACTCATGTGTTCCTGGAATCTTTACAACAAATGTTGCATTAACATAGAACTTTTTCATTGATTTGACCAAAATCAAATCCATCTGTAGCAGATACTGTTTTAGCTTGTGAAAGAAATATTTTATAAACAACACGAGGTATGTTTATAAAATAATGAGGTTATATCCATTTCGGCTTTATGAAATCAGAATCATTACTTCATTATCACTTCCTTTATCCAAAATTTACCACACAAAAAGAAAAAAAATATTCTCCAGGATTGCTGGTCTGATTGCTCTGTCTATACACTTACTGTTGGGTAAATATGAAAGTCTTTCATGGACAATATACCTTGGTAGTGATCTTTTTTTCTTCCGTGCAAAAATTTGACTTAATCTAAATGTGCTGAATGATATTTCTTTTTCTTTTTCTTTTTTTTTTAAGATTTACTTATACAGAACTGGGGTGCAGGTTAAAGGCATAGGGGTGGTAAAAGGAGACAGAGTGGGGAGCAGAACAGGCAGATCAATGAAGAACACTGCTGAAGGGAGCAGCAGGCAGGTCCGGTGGAGGTCTGTGGAGTCATGTGGATCACCTCCTGGCCTGGGCTCCAGTTTGCACTGAAGCAGCTGCAGCTCACTTGTAGTACTGCTCTTTAACCCACTGCGCCACCAGGGAGGGCCCGATATTTCTTTTAATTTCACTGTGTCACCCTTGAATATGGATTGACATAGTAGGTGACACCAAGAAACTAGTGGTTAGAATTCTATTTATTCCCAATGTGAAAAGATTAGCATTGTCATTCTTGCTTCCCCTGGGCTTGCGTGCAACCTTAGATAGAGACTTTAGAGGACTTTCAGATTTGCGCAGGATAAACCCAAGCACAGACTACAGGCGGGGCTCATATGATCTGACCCCCTCTCACCATTGACATGCCAACGCTGTTGCTAAAATTTCAGGGTTATGAGCAATGTGGGATATTTTTCTTAGAGGGTCTTTAAGATCCAAATGTTGGGGCCCTCCCTGGTGGCGCAATGTTGGTTAAAGAGCGGCACTGCTAAAGGTAGCTGCAGCTATCTCAGCGCAAGTTCAATCCCCACGAGGGAGGTGATCCATATGGCGCCGCAGACCTCTCCTGTCCCTCCCACTGCACCCCTCAACAGTGTATTTCAGTAGTTTTGCCTGTTCTGCTTCTCAGCCTGTTTCTAGTGAATCCTCTCACCTGCACCTCTGGCTTACACCCCAGCTCTCATATGCATAAATAAATAAATCTTTCTTTAAAAATCATAAATATAAAGCTCATCATGTTTGAGAAGAGTTCAAAGTTTTGTACTTTGCTGGACAGGACCCTACCTAGCTTTTCTGTTTTGTCTTTCCCTCTTGAAAGAAGGATCCTTGGTACCCCAAGACTGGCTTGCCTCTCTGCATCAGAAGTCATTTTTCGCTGAGTTTCTTTTCACTTTCCTTTAGTGCTATCCAAAGTTTCAATTTGTAGAATCTGGCTTCTCTTTTCTGTCGAGTTTTTCTTTCTCTGTTGTAGAGAAGTTAAGGTTTTTCACAGTCTTCTCCTCGGCCTTTCTTTTTAATTGTCCTTTATGGCTTCTCTGATTTGTTGGAAACATCATTAGGATGATCTAATGGACCTTCTTTAAAGACCCCAGTGGTAACACATGTGAATTTTTCCTTATTCTTCCAACACAGTGGGCACTGTATTTCCAGGGAAAGACATCAACTTTGTCAGAACTTTTAAGTTATAAATAACAAAACCCCAACTAGAACAAAAAGAAGAATTTGCTGGAGGAATATTGTAAATGGACTGCAGAACACCAACACAGCAACACAATGGTAAGGCAGTGGACCGAAGCTGGTTTCAGGATGGCAGGCCAGGGAACACAGGCAACTCAGTGGGCCTCAGTAGCCTAGGAGACCCTTCAGGCTTAAATCAATCAGTTAAAACTCAGAGATACCCCATGGCTGAACCCCCATTCTCTGCACACTATTCGCATAAAAATACTTCTTGCATCCACAATGGCAACTTATTCGGGACCTTTATCTGTTGAGAGCTTTCCTGTGCTTTTCCTTACCTGCCAATGAACTTACTTTTTCAGTCTAATTACTTCCTTTCCAAGATAGAGCCGATAGAGCCCCTGGAAGTCAGTGGAACTCCAGGCCCACCAGGCCTTCTGTCCTGAGAAGTGTTCTGCTTTAGGGTTCTCTCAGCTCTGTGGGTGGTCATGGCATCTGACCCAGCTGATTATTCCTTAGTGTTCTCTTTCTCACCAGCAAATCCCCCTTAATCTAGTTCTTGTTCAACTCAATATGTGACTCTGTCCTGACTGGACTTTGATGCACTTCTTTATAGAAACAGATACCTTACATGGTGAGATTTAAATGGCCACACCCATTTAAAATGTTCAGATTGTCTCTGGACTTAAGGGAAGGTCCTCTATTCTAGAGAGGTGGGCAGAAGTTTGCAGTGCTCACCACCTCCCCTACTACTGAGTGCTCCTCTGAGAGGCCTGCCAGGATGTGTGGGAGGAGCAGATATGACCCTGTCTCACAGCCTCAGCAGCCCTGACAATGTGAAAGACATCAACTTGTGGCCTCTTAAAATTCTGTAAGTCTTATAACTTTGTTTCTCATAATGAGTACAAGGTAACAGAAAGATTGAGGCAATGGGATTTACTGTAACCTTGCCAAGAAAGGAGATGGATCAAAAAAGGAAAAGATGTGAGAGGCAGAACCAAAACCAAAAAATCTTTACAATCGCAATGCACTACAGGATACTTTCTGCAAGATGCATTTGGACATACAACTCAATAAGAAGGGAAACAAAAGCAAATAAATGGGATACATCAAACTAAAACACTTTTGTACTTCAAAGAAAACTATCACAAAAACAAGTCAATTTACTGAAGGGAGAAAATATTTGTATATCACACATGACAAGGGGCTAATTTCCCAAATATACTAAGTATTTACACAATTCAATTAAAAAATGGGTAAAAGACCTAAGTGAATATTTTTCTAAAGAAGACATTCAAAATGCCTACAGGCACATGAAAAGTTGACATCACTTATTGTAAGGGAAATGCAAATCAGAACCATGATGAATTATCACCTCACCCCTGTGAAAATCACCCATGGCAAAAAGAATAGAACAACAAAAGTGGGTAAAAAATGGAGTCTCTGAATCACAAGCTTGGTGGGAATGCCAAGTTGGTGCAACCAAAATGGCATGGAGATTTATACTAAGAAAATAAAAGTGGAAATCCCATATGATCCCAAATACCTCTGCTAGGTATTTACCCTCCAAATATGAAAACGAATATGATACCTGATGCACCTCTATGTTCACAGCAGCACTGCCCACAATTACCAAGTCATAGAACCAACTTACAGGTCCATCAGCAGATGCCTGGAGAGACAAAAGGTGCGCTTTATATTCAGTAGAATTCTACACAGCTATTAAAAAAATGAAATAGTTTTTTTTTTTTAAACAAGATGGATGAAACTTGAGGTGATTATGCTAAGTGAAATAAGTCAGAAAATGAAAGATAATGATAGCTTCGCATATCCATGGAATAGAAATAACCAAAAAACATACTGGCAAAATACATCAATAACAAATCTTGGACTTAACTTAAAAATATTTACTAGTTACCAGAGGGCACAGAAATGGGCATAGCATGGAGGAAGATAATATATAGGGTGAGCATGAGTGGTTTTGTGGGGTTTAATGGAACGTGTGTACAATGAATGAGTGAAAATCTACCCCTTAAATTATAGTAGTAAAATAAAATTTCATATAAATAAAGATTAAATTATGAGTAAAAAACTTTTTTTTAAAGATTTATTTATGCATACAGAACTGGGGTACAGGCCTGAGATGTGGGGTCAGGGAAGGGGGCTGGTGAGAAGTTTCACCAGAGACAGAGTGGGGAGCAGAACAGGCAGATCTACTGAAAAACACTGCTAGAGGAGCGGCGGGCAGATCAGGAGAGGTCTGCCACGCCATGTGGGACCTGTGGTGGAGGAACAAACTGGCACTGAAGTGGCTACAGCTAGCTTTAGCAGTGCTGCTCTTTGACCTGTTGTGCCAGCAGGGAGGGCCCTGAGTAAGAAACTATTCTTAAAGACCAACAAAACAAAGGTGAGAAGAAAAATTGAGGTTGAAATAAAAGAAGTCAGATAAAAGGACTAAAAACACTAAATAGGCTTAAAAACAAAAGACAACCCAGAAACTGAGAAATTAAAAATGTATGGCTAGAGAAAAATTAGAAGAATCAAAACTTTAGATTTTCACATCAGAAGCTTAAAATTCAAGAACATTATGAATACAACTAAAGTGGGAAACAGAACACAAATACTTTAGAGTGGAAACAACAAGAGGAAAATTGACCTGGAATATAAAGAGTAAGCCAGGTGGCTGATACAATCTGCTTGAAAGGAAGACTGAAAGAAAGCGAACACTAGTTAGGAATCTAGCAATCTTTAAGTGCTAAACATTTAGAGAAAGAA